TAAATATACCCACAATTCTGTTTTACAAACTTTTGACAACAAAGCTTTTGTTTGAAAAATTTCATGACATTAAGTTAGTAAGAAATGATGCATTGTACATTTATAAAATACAAAATGCCAAAATCCTCTTTTTGTGAAAATTTGTATTTTCAATTTTGTTTTCCTAAAAATATGCATTTCTATTTTCATAATGCTAAAATTTACACTTCAAAATTACCTTTTGTAAAATGCGAAACTTTTTATTGTTAATTCATAAGCGTGATTGTACAAATCAAAAAGTTTGTGCAAAGATTGAAAAAATTGACCCACATACTTTGACCATAAATAACAGACCTATAGAAACAGTTAGGATGTTCTCATACTTAGGAATACTTTAACAAACACATGATCCTTTTAAAAAACACACAATGGGACACCTCAAACAAAAAGTCCTCAAAGCTATGTTTGCATTAAAAGGGATGCTAAATTCTCAAGAAACTTCTTCGCCCTTTCTCACCATGAAACTTTCTGACCAAATGATAAAATCAATCCTCCTGTATGGCTGTGAAGTTTGGGCACAAAATGTATTTATAGACAAGAAATGACACCACAAAAAATGAAATAAAATGCCATTCAAACAAATACATTTAAAATGTGTAAATGGACACAAAGTTTGAGAAAATCGTCCGCCTTCCTCTGTATTTGGACATTGTCAGTTTGGTGTCCAGATACAGTAGAAGACTGGACAACCTTCCAACTCACAGATTAGTCAAACAAGCTTACAACATGGAGCTAACTGAAAAAGGAAATTACTGGATTCGGGCTACTACAAATTTTGCGGCACGCTGGAAACCATACCACCCGAATAACAATAAACATCAAAATAAAATTCACAGCTACCAAGATCTAAAGGAAGAAATAATCAAAAACTTAAGAAAATCAATCATTTGGGAAATTGCTGAAAGGAGAAAAGAACAAACTCAAAATATATGAAACATTAAACCTACTTATAAAGCTGAACCTTATCCAAAACACAATATTCCTTTGACTAAAAAAGTCTTGGCAAAAATGAGGATCCGTGATCATGAATTAGAAATTGAATGAGGGCGATACACAAAACCAAAGACGCCAATTGACATAAGAAAATGCCCCCACTAGAAGATAAAGCACACTTTTTTCTAGAATGCAGTGAACACAGAGCCAAACAAGAAATACTGTTTGCCTGCATACCAGGAGTGAATTTGCAGGGTCCAACAGACAATAAACTATCTATTTTACTCAATCCACTCTCTGCTCATAGTGTAAGTGCGTTATATAAATTTGTAAACAGTGTAATCAAAAGGCGTGTTTCTCTGCCCATATGAGTATAGTTTTGTACTTATATTATTATATTTTGTAGTAGTTAGAGAGACTGTCAAAGTAAACCATTTCTTTGTGCTCAGTACATTATTATTAAAACACAAACGCGAAGTGAAATCTTAATGTGTGACCTGTTTATACCCAATAAGGATTCACTCTTTATTGTATTGTTTAATTTTCCAAATCCCCAAATACAGTTAAAACCACTTATAAATAGAATAGGCATGTTCTAGAACTATTTTTCAACTCCTAAGTATTTTGTTATGGAATGTTCTAGAAAAATTGTATAATAAAACGTGTCTATTGAAATTCTGATTAAAGAGCGGTTATACAATTTTCTAACTATAAAACAGCGGTAACAAAGTCAATTTATTACTTCACTGGTATAGATATAATATTGCAATCACTCTGCATCTTTCATCCATCTTCATGAATAGTTCCAGAAGAAAATTTATAATAGTATTTTCAAAACATATCTGATTATCTATATTGATGATAAGACATTTGACAAGCGTGTTTTTACCTAGGGTAACTAAAAATAACAGCTTACCTTATTTACATTTTAACAACTGAGAGAGTTCGCTATATAGTAATCTATATATACTAAAACTTTCTCCTCAATCCCCTTTTGAAATAACATTTTTCCCCTAAAAGTAGGTCGAAAACGACTTGCTTTAGTACTCGCACAACACAACAACAATAAGAGTAGTAAACATGGTTATTTTATTGAATGAATTGAAGTCAGAAAAATTTAAGTTTTCATTCACAGGAACACACTACTTCAGCTCAAAACAAACAAGCATATGGAATGGAATAGCATCACCATAATCATGATTCAGGGTAAAGGCAATTTGGGACAACCTGTTGGTCTTAAATCTCTTTCATGAATAACGATTTTTTTTTCTTTTTATCAAATCAAAACTTATGGTAACACAGATATGACATTTGGTTATAAGAAAAAAGTAGGAAGGAATGATATAAAAACCTTACTATTGGTGCTGCTTAAGGCTGAACACTTCTAAGAAAACTATCGGATTTCTTATGCACATGCTATATTGTAAATGAACATGCTTGCTTAACGACTTCTGGGAATATTTTGCACATATAATTTAGTGCTTAAAATCCTTTCCGTTATATTTTATCTTTTTTACATACCGAATTGAAGGCAGGAAAATTTAAACTTCTCTTGTTCTTCTGTTTAGGCCTCTTTCTTCTGCTACAGTAACTGGCGTGAGCCTGAGTCATTGATTAAGACACCAATTGGATAACCATATATGGAGGACTGTTTAAACTTTTTTTGGTTCTTCTTGGAAAAGCCAGGCTCTTATCAAGAAAATTTAGTATACCTGTCACGATGGTATTGACTTAGTTTTTCTGATTACACAAGGTAAGAGCTAAACTAATTTCATTTTCTTTCATATTCTTTATTGCCACTTCGTAACTACCTTATCTACATTATAGTCCTCTTCCTTCAAACTCTTTCAGGAAGTAAGACCGCTTAATCCTGCATTGGATTGTCCTCCTCTCACACGCCTCCCCACGCATCGTCCCTGCAGGGACACAGTAATTAAATCTTGGCTTAATTGAACCGGCTTAATTGAACCGGTTGAGATTCGACGCGTGGGGAGGCGTGTGAGGGGATTAGGAGGTCTTACTTTTATGTAGGTAATTCTGCCTAACAAAATCGTGCATGCTTAGCAACCTGTGTTTGTGTACCCTTTACGTAATCCAGGCGATTTCAAACTGATAAGACATGTGACTCACGTGTTTCTACCTAGGGTAACTAAAAATAACAGCTTACCTCATTTACATCTAAACAACTGAGGAAGGTCACGATATCGATCAAATATTCTAGGACTTTTTCCCCTGTTCCCTTTTGAGGTTACTTTGAAATTACATTGTGATCCAGTAAAAAGTAGGTCGAAAGCGACTTAATTTACTACTCCCACTACACAATGACAGTAAGGCACCGATCACATGAAAAATCCAAACCCCATGCGTCCAGGTGTCCGAGCGCAATCGAGATTTAATTACAGCTTTGGAAGTAACTCGCTCGCTCTGCTATCACTAGATACTGATCACTAGATACTGCCCATGGATTTTTGGAATTTCGATTTTTCATGTGAACGGTGCTTAAGAGTAGTAAAATGGTTCTTTTATTGCATGAACTGAAGTCAGAACTAATTTAAGTTTTCATTCACAGGAACACAATACTTCAGCTCAAAACTTGTAAACAGATGAATTTTTATCTTTGTCGAAACTCACCACAGTTATTCAGATAAGTCTGCATATGGAATGGAATAGCATCAACCTTTGCATGAAATATGGGATCATCTGTTGGTCATCTGTTGGTCTCTTTCATGAATATTTTTGTTCTTTTTTATCAAGCCAAAATTTATGGTAACACAGATATGATTTGGGGTGGTAAGAAAAAAGTAGTAAGGAATGATATAGCAACCTAACTATGGGTGCTGCTTAAGGCTGAACACTTCCAAGAAAACTATCGGATTTCGTATGTACATATATATTGTAAATGTCCCTGCTTCCTTAACCCTCAAGAGACCAAGCTATTTTACTGACTGAAATGACCAAGTGGGGTCATCTATGACCCCATTGTGCTCTGTACAGGGATCCTTATTATAAAAGGCTGTTGAGGCTTTATCACACCCATACTACTCCCAGGATTTAAGACAAGTATTTTATAATGATCTAATGTAATAAGTATTTGGTAATAATACTTTTATTACATGAAATAACCAAGCACAGATTTTAAGAACAACATTACACCAGTATTTAGACAGTCCTTGTCAGTTTCCACTTGCAGAAATATTTCTCTTTTTATTTGCCACACTAAATGAAAAAAGTACATTACAAAATTACTTTGAGTAAAAATAGTTTGACTAATGTTGAGATAGCATATCCTGCTAACTTCAATAAGAATAATTAGCTGACTTACTGAGTAGGGAAAACCCTAATGCTGGTAAGGAAGTCATACTACTCAGAACACATTCAATCAACCTACATGTATGTTACTACCACATCTGTGTATAAAACAAAATCCACACAAGCAATTTGTTAATATATGTATAATATGATATGGACAGAATTCTTTAGATTTCTGAAATACCCGAAAATTGTAACCGTCAAAATGAGAGACCCAGTTATGAGAACAAGTTCCAACAAAACTACTGAAATTAGATTCAGCAATGCACTATTAGTAACACTCCAAGCACAATCTTCACAAACCACTTATTTGTGCCTATGTTTTGGGCACACTGGCTGGTTGCATGAAGCACATGCATGTGACATTTTCCTGTCAGTGTTGCGTGGGCAAAACATTTGGATAAAATTTAAAAACTAATATGTAAAAACCAATGCTTCTCTTTGGGGTCATAAATGACCCCACAAGAGTTTTTGACGTATACGCCACACTAATTGGTTGATCCCTACAAAACACTGTGAAAGTGTGTAGGATTAGTAGACTGACAAACTCATACAAGGAAAGAAAATTCGAATAAAAAATATAGAGATGGCACATTAAATCATATGACTGGGGTCGTAACTGACCCCACTCGGTCACTTGAGGGTTAAGGATATCTGTGGATATTTTGCTCATATAATTTTGTGCTTTTTTGTAAACAACATTCCTTCCTATCACTTACCGAATATTGAAGGGAAATTAAAACTTCTCTTCTTCTCCTTCTGTTGCGGGCTGTATCTTCTGCTAGAGTAAGTGGGGTGAGCCTGACTCATTGATTATGACATATGACATTATGGATATCCATATATGGAAAGCAGTTACTGTTGATACTGTTTTTAGTTCTTCTTGGAAAAGCCAGGCTCTTATCAAACCGAATTAATGTACCTTTTACGATCTTAATGACATCACCTTACTGATTACGTAAGTAGGTAAGAAGTAAACAACTTTCATGTTCTTTCATATTCTTTATTGCCACTTCCACGGATATCACTGAGGTTTTATTGAAATGGCAAGATGACTATGCAGGTCTATTCAGTGTGTCAGATTAAAATTGTGATGGTTTTGATAAATCTGTCTTAGACCAGGTTAATGAGAAACTTTATATTTATAGACAGGGTGAACTTGATACACCAGATTTGAGTGCCAGTCTTAACACTGATATTACATTAAAAGAAGTTGAGTTTGCAGTTAATGGTGCTAAGTGTGGTAAAAGCCCCGGGCTTGATGACCTACCTTCGAAGGTTTTAAAAAACAATACAATTATTATATTTTTGTATAACCTATTTAAGTACTGTTTTGCTTATTCTGTTGTCCCTAGCGATTGGCTTAGGTCCGTCATTAATCCCATACCTAAAGGTAATGGTGTTATTTCATGCAATCCACTAGAATATAGAGGAATAACATTATCATCTAGCATATATAAGATATACACATCTATTCTGAATAGGAGATTATCGAAGTGGGCCGAAGATAATGAAATAATAGTTGATGAGCAAAATGGTTTTAGACAAGACCGTGGATGTTTAGATCACATGTATGTAATGTCTGGTATTATAGAAAACAGTTTAAAGCTAAAGCAGAGAATATATGCGTGTTACATTGATGCAAGGAAAGCATTCGACAGAATTAATAGGTCTCTTTTATGGTACAAATTATTTAAACTAGGAATATGTGGAAATTTTATGAATTCCCTCCAGGCTCTATATGATAACCCAAAGTGCTGTGTTAGGGTAAATAACTATACAACAGGTTTCTCTGACATTGAAAATGGAGTAAAACAGGGGTGCTTGCTGTCACCTTTACTCTTTGACATTTATATTAATGATATGGTACATGATCTTAAAGCTCTGGGTAAGGGCATTAATGTAAATGATGAGCTGATTTGTTCGCTCCTTTATGCAGATGACGTAGTGCTTTTGGCCAAGAATGAGGAGGATTTACAGTCAATGCTTGATGTAGTGCACCAGTGGTGTTATAAATGGCAGTTGACTCTTAATGAGGACAAGACCCAGATAGTCCATTTTAGGTCACCTAAAATACCTAGGACAAATTACGTATTTAAATGTGGCAATTTTATAGTAAATATTGTTGAAAAATATAAATACTTGGGTATGTGGTATTTTGAGCACTTCGATGCGAATAAGACGGTATCATGTATAGCTAAGTCTGCAAGCAGAGCTCTAGGTCTTCTGATTGCAAAATGCAAGGCTTGTGGGGGTATGCCCTATGCATGTTTTACAAAATTATACGATGCACTTGTAGCTCCTGTGTTAGAATATGGTTCTGCTATATGGGGACTCCAGGAATTTAGTCAGATTAATGTTGTTTTCAATAGAGCTTGCAGGTATTTTTTGGGCGTGGGTAGGTACGCGCCAGTCGCTGCCACCCGTTCTGAAATGGGATGGACTTCGCCTTTTGAAAAGCAGTTAATTAATGTGACAAATTTTTGGTGTAGATTAGTTAATATGGATTGTAATAGGTTAACTAAAAAGGTGTTTTTATGGAGTTTAAGTGTATCAAATAATGGAAGGAAAAATTGGATAACTAGGGTTAAAGACAAGTTTAGTGATTTGGGAGTAAGCCACCTGTACTTAACTGACAATGATATACTCAAGGCTAGTACACTTAATTGTGTTAGGGAAAGTGTAGCTTTTGAATGTCACTGCGACTGGTAGGCGAAACTATGGGATGATACCCCACGTAGAAATGGAGGTGGTAATAAGCTTAGGCTATTTAGATTGTTTAAGCAAGACTTGGCAGTTAGTGAAAACGTTAAGAAACCAACTTTATCGCTCAAGTATCGGCGGGCATTGGCTAAACTGAGAACTTCCGCTCCTGGAGAGAATGTGTCCATTTTTTAATGATCATCGTACTGATTAAATTAGAACTGCTAAATGTTTTAAGCCAGACTTTGATTTATTGGATGAACAAAGCAAATTTCTTTTCCCGATTGATGATCCAAAAATGATTTTTAGCACTGCCAAAACCTGTAGCCTTTTCTTAAGATTAAGAAGAAATTTTATGTATTTAAACTGTAATTAGTTTTTAGTCTCTTATAGTTCTCTATTGAACTGCATCGTTGTAATGACTGTTTTAACTTTTATTGTTTTTTTTTATTATTTTTTATTTCATGGGTGAGACTTTAATAAAATAAACTGAAACTGAAACTGCTAACTGCCTTATCTACATTATCGCCCTCTTCTTTCAAACTCTTTCATCGCTCTCCATTTACATTACATTCTCCGCTTAACAAAAAAAAAAAAAAAAAAAAAAAACGCGAAAATCGTACTGCCTAACAAATTGTTAATGCTTAGCAACCTATGTTTGTTTACCCTTCAAGTAATCCACGCGGCTTTCAAACTGATAAGACATGTGACACGCTGGTTTCTACCTAGTGTAACTAAAAATAACACCTTACCTCATTTACATCTAAACAACTGAGGGAATTCACGATATTCTAAAACTTTCTCCCCGATCCCATTTTGAAATAACATTGCTATACCCTAAAAGTATACAGTCATAAGATTATGTATATGTGCATTTATTCCATCTAACATAAGAAGATTAGATACAATTATAACTTCAGAAAATACAATAGAGGGAGTGTGATAAGGATAGGGTCGCTAAACGATTTTGACGGAATATAGTGACTAGCCTAATCATCTTGTCGCCTGGGTAGGCACGCCCCCTTAGAGTACTTTTGTAAAAAAAAAAGGTCTTCCATAGAGAACTATCCTTTTGTTCAACAGCTTCGCGCGTGCAGCGGATTATGTATATAGTGACACTATACAGCTAACTGCAGTTAAATCTGTGAAAGCTGTTATTTGATTTATTCTGCTGTGTCGGACGTTGTGGGCCAGCCCAATGGTTCATTCACTCATTCTTTTCTGAAGATTGGTGATGCATATTTTGAGTGCTTAATTATTTACCCTCTTTCTTACAAGAGAAAGGAAAAGGGAGAGAAACAGAGACAGTGTGAACTAAAAAGGTATAGAGTAATATAATACATTAATTAAAGGGACTTGCGGTGGAAGAAACGATACTGTTTTGCATCAAGGTATGCAATTATAATCCCACAATGCCCATTGCATATACGGCCGTACTTTAAATACATTACTCATAGTTGTATTAAATTTCATTATTTTGCTGAATAGACATACATTTTAAAGTAGGTCTTTCAGGAAATCGTTTTGTTTGAAATAACACAAACGACAGAGGTAAAATCACATATAAATTTATTTTGCAATAAATAACTTTATATTCAAGGTCCATCTACACTGATTGTGAGCTATTACAGAATGTATCGTTAAGTTATTATCTTAAATGTATATCTTTCAAAATTTGCTTTTCATGGTTAGAGAACAAAAAAGTATATGATAGGGAGTTATTGACCACAAGTTTAATTTTCTTAAGAAGCAACAAGAGTAGCAGCTGTTTTAAAAGTTGGCAAAAGAGGGCACGTGACAGATAAAACAGTTTGGTTTGATGAGTTCATTACACGATGTAATTTAATGTTTTTACCACGAGCTAATCACCCAAAAGACAATAGAACAAAAACAAGTAATGTGTGATCAATACGGAAAATTGAATATAATTTCTTGTGAGTTTGTGTGAAAAATAAGTCGTTGAATAAACGGTGATCTTAAGTGTTGATCTTCACGAAGCTTGCGCTTTCGCTCTACATAAAATCGCAGCCCTCTGTTAGCTTGGTTCATCGGAGCAATGTATTTTTTCAGCATTCTGCAGGTCTGGTTGCGTACAATGCCTTCATCTAATGCCTTAATCATAAATTAACTTTGTGACATGAAGTAATTAATAAAATACGCCTGTTGAAAAGGGTCTTTTCGTAACTTATACAGGTGCACTCTCAGGCAGGTAAGTTGTTTAGAAAAACATCGTCGCCGTTCGTCGCCCCTACCTTCAAAAAGCTTATCCTCTGCTCACTGGATCACTGGCATTTTTTTTTTTATTAGCTGACAAATTAGGGCAGATGTCAATTAACGTTTTAGCTATTAATTCTAAATTCACTAATATTTCGGACTAAAATTCCATGTTAGATTCATAGCCATGACGCAATGGCACCAGAGTAACAGTTTAAATTTCTAAACATTCTATTTAGTTTTTAGCCTGATGTTTTTTTATTATCAGTTGAAATATTTTCCATGTTCAACTACGTAAACGTGTACGTACACAAGGCCTATTCTGGACTATTTTATTTTAGCCAACTACACAAACAAATAGCACTGACTGCTCCACCTCCCCCCCCCAATCAAACAAACACA